GAGAGCATATAGGCTTTGTAAGCTCATTTTGGAACTAACTTCGGTGATCCGAAAAGAATGATTATTCTTAAAATTATATTTGTTGTCTATTTTTTTAAAACAAATATGATTCAAACATATAATTACTGATATTCAATCATGTTGATTTTTTGCATGAATATTATTCTACTCAAGGAGTCCTAAAAGGTTAGCGGTTCAAATCGTTGAAACGGGACCTGTGGTGGGCTCTACAGGTCCCTCAAATTAATAAGAGCGATTACTCCTGCAAATAAATAATAAATAATTATATTTATATTTTTTAATGTTGAATAAGAGTGACTCAAGTCCATCAATGGATTTATAGTTGTTAGATATTTAATTGTTATACTATCTTAATTTGGTTCTTTTGAAGCATTTGAAAGTTACATTTTTATAGTATAGCATGCATGCGTTGATTGTTAACATGTCAAGCTAAAGACTTTTGCTATTACAACTTATGCACACTAAGACATTGAATTGTTAAGATGTCAGATTTTTTTGCTATTATTGTTTTTTCGGAATGTGTGGGTGGAAAATGTCTCAAATTCCATAATAACAGATCAATATGGTCGCAAGTAAGCAAGTTCTAGTCAAATGCAGGTATAAGATCCACACTTGAGTTCTCTCTTTCAAGTGATTAGTTAAGAAATAAATTTAATAACTTTAGAATGAATTTTGTGAGTTAATTTTCACCAAAAAATCGGCCCTATTGAATGAATGAACCAGTAATTGGATCTTTTGTGAATTATGTTTGAAAGTAGTTGGAAACTGAATTTTGGTTTAAAATTCACATATAGATTCTTATCAAATTAATCTTTCGGATAAAACATTGGTTCCAATTTTTTAGGAACCATAGATAACGGATTGGTCTTGGTTTTATCCCAATCCGGTCCAATCCGGACCATGCTCACCCCTACTCTCTTTCAAGTGATTAGTTAGGAAATAAATTTAATAACTTTAGAAGATCCTTAAGAAAAAGCCAAAGAAGGGGTCTAAGAATGCTAAACCTATTACAAAGACTGAAAAATGTGAAAGTTTCTTCAACTTCTTCAGCCTCCCGAGGTTCCTCAGGATAAAGATGATATTGGTGAAGATACTGTACGTTTATCAACTTTATACACGTCAAAATACTAGTTGACGCCATTTTTAATTATAATTTGGGTTCTCTTCTAATTCGTTCGTACTATTGATTAACATACGAAAGAACTTCAGAACCAAATGAAGTAAGACTATGACATTGGGTGAGTCAACCATTCTGTTTTCACTTTTTAGTTGTGGATATCGCATACAATGATTAAATGTGCTCTTATTTTAAAAATTGTGAAGTTGTACGAATTAGTTCTAGATTATATAAAGAATGCAGTTATGTGAACTCACTTCTAATTGTGTATGGAGGCACTATAACAACCCTCATTTTTGCCTTAGTCATATTCATGAGAATTTATATGATTTTGGTTTGTTAAGCTTGCATTTTGTAAACTTTGATATTTTGTCTAAGTGTGGGATTTTGTGTTGTTTTAATGCTATTGTATTTTGCCAAAGTATAAGATCCATGTTTTGTTCTATGCTTTGTGCGTTGAACCTAGGCTATCTACCTTTTCTACCTCACACCTAGGTCACATCTTTGAACCTCTTATACCTAAATTGTTGAGCAACAACACCTAAGGCCATCTTGGAACCATCTTGGCTGACCTCTAACTCCACCTCTACCCTCGTGTCTTAGCTGAAGTGTGTATCACTTAAGCCAATGTGTGCATCACCTAGCAATATGAAATCCTTGATCCTTGAACTTTGCAGCCGTGCTGGACACCTTCTTGTTAAGTTGTGCACCTTAGCCAACACCTAGCAATCTTGTTCCATGTCTTGTACAACCTAGGCCGAGGTGTGTCACGCTTAGGCCAAGTATTACCCCTCTTAGCCGAGATCAGGAAGACCTCACCTATCCTTCACTTGTCTAAATACTATGTTTGATCTCGGATCCTTGCCTTGTTAGTGTACCCATGCCACCTTACTTGTTGTATACACTTTGACCTACTTTTGTCCTTTCATTCAGATACCCTTTTGAAGAGATTTGACCAAATAATGCCACGCGCCCTAGTAGTGGGTATTGGTTAGTGAGCAGTTGAGAAATCCATATCATTTGCCATATCTTTGTTTTGCAGAGAGAGCAACTCTAGGAAGAAGAAGAAGTTAGATTTTTTAAGCTTGATTATTAGACTTTGAACTTTGATTTGTGTTTTGAAGTTAGACACTTGATCTATTTTTGTTGTTCTTTATGTCAATTTGATCACATTGCATGATCTTGTATGATTCATGAGCCATGCATTGATTTGAAGTTTTGTTTTAGAGAGAAAAAAGTGATGTTCTTGTGTTCTTGAAGAAAAACCATATTTTGATCCAAAAATTGTAACAAGTTCTATGCTTTTGTGTTTATTTTCATGAAATCTTCAAGTATGGGTACCCAGGTCCATGTTTGCAAACTCATATCATGAAATCTTAGATTTTAAATAAGAATTTATAATTTTAGCATTTATGTTCCTCATGTTTATGTTCTTCATGATCTTCAAGAGGAAACCTAGATTTTCAGATTTCATTATTCCCTGAGTGTGGTCACCGAGACCCACTCTTGTCTAGCTCCCATACCTAGGCCAAGCATTGCATCTCACCTTAGCCTACCTTGCATGATCACTTGTGCCTTGGTCTACACCTAGGCTGACTATAGCACAACTTTGTTGACCACCTTGTAACATTCTGGGTAGGCAGCTTATATCTCAGCCAAGGAGACCACACCTCAGCCAAGAGGTGTGGAACCTCGGCCATGACCTCTTAAGTTCACTCAACTAGGTCATTTCGGCTCTGCTCCTCTCTGTGCATCCATTCCTAGACCTAGTTTGTACCTAGCATGCTTTTTCCAGAAGAAAAACATTGATTTAACTTCTAGAACATGCTTTGCTTTGTTTTGACTTGGTTTTGAAAAGAATATCGAGATCTATTTTACTCATTTGAAGCTTGCTTTGAGATTGCATTACATAACCATCTTTGAGCATCTCTTCTTGTCTTCTTGAAGTGCATTCGACGAGATTTACTATGTATTTGTAGGTCTTGGATCTTTGCCTTATTTCTCCTCGACCAAAGAGCTATTGTGAGTGATATTTTTAATAAAGTTATGTTATATTATTTTAGATAAAAGCTTTGCTTTATTTTGAAAAAATATTTGATCAAGCATGAATGATTATCTCTTAGTTTTTGTATCAAGTATTATGTTTGTTTTAATGATGTTCTTGAAAGGTCCTTGTGTGCTAAGGAACTTTAATACAACTAGTACCTTTATTTGAGATATCTCCTTTGTCATAGATGGGTGGGCTTGTCTAATTGATTCCGAGTCGATTATTCCTTTGTTTTGTCAATGAATGTTCATTATTTGTATTATGTAGATATTTGTAAACATCATTTGAGGCTTTGAAAGCCTTTGATTGATGAACTCGGATCATCCTTTGATTTTGTTACAAGCTATGATGTGTATTGTTTTGATAAAAATCTCGGATATCATTCATTCAAACCTTTATTACTTATATTATTCATTGAGTTTTTAGCTCATCTCTCTCCTTTATATATGTGTAGATGATGAATAAGAAGGCGATGTCACCTAAGTTTGGTGGAATATGTGTTTTGTTTCATGTTTTGTATTCATCTTGAAGATTATGCTTCTTAGTTTTGCAGATTTTTTCTTTTGTATGTTTTGGCTCAAGAAGCCTTTTGATCAAGATGTAACATGTGGATGTTTGTGTACAAGCTTATTATCTTGTTTGTATCCAAGTTGTAAAGCTATGTTAATATTTTATGTATCTCAACGTATGACATTTCCTTTAATTTATGCACAACGCTTATGGACTAATTAGATTTAGGGTTGGTTTGGGATGTCCTAAAAAAGTGCACTTTTTGACTTATTGGTGGGTTTGGGTTGGGTTTGGGTTGGGTTTGATGTGATGTGTTAGAGAGGTGATGTGATTTAAATAAGATGATGTGACTTAAATAAGATAGTGACTTTTTGACTTTTTGGCTTATTTAGTATATGCCAAACTAGCCTTTAAATTTATTACTTTCGCATATGTATGCCCCATATGTATACTCTGTATGTGTGAATCTTTGTAAGTTGGCCTTCGGTAATCTAAGATTACTGGCCATCATAGTATCATTCTATTAGAGGCGGAATGAGATCGTGACATGTACTTTTTCTTTTTTTTTTGTAACTTATGCCAAGAAAGGTAATTTGATGTTTGTTGATATATGTAGTTCAACTATTTGGGACAAAATTATCCCCTATGATGTCTTGTGTTTTTTGAGTGAGGCTATTCAGGGGATGACTTTAAAGACATATATAAAGACGACTACGATGAAAATGATAACGATGAAGAAGAAAATGAAGATAAAGATTAGAACAATGATGAAGACGCAGACGAAGAAAAGAATAAGGATAAAACCAGCACCAAAAAGGTAACTCTCACAAAATTTCAAGCAAAAACCAAAGTCTCCCCCTTACCATTGTTAATTTTCAATTTCTGAACATATTAAGGTCTCGTTTGGGATGCTACTAAATTAGTCAATTAGCTAAAAATTTACTGAATTAGCCAATTAGCCAATTAGTCATACTAAAAAGTCAACAATTACGACTTCTCTCTACTTTTTGCACAGTTTTTCGTAATTAGTCAAAAAGTCATCCCAAATATATAAATTTTTTTACCTACTTTTTAACTAATTAATTAAAAAATTACTAAATTAACCTGTTCCCAAACGAGGTCTAATACTTTATTTTTCTATTTTTCTGTTGGCCATTTGCTATGTGAGCCACGATGAAACACGTGGCAAGCTTATCTCGTCCAAGTTGAAGGAAATCAAGAATCTACTCATATAAAAATCACGAGAGCCGTCGATCAATGCCAACCCCTATTGACAGGGGTGAACGTCTCATCTACGGCCAGGCACGTCTGACTGTTGATTTTTCGCAACTCATACATTGACAGCCGTTGGATCGTTCTGGACAATTAATAAATCACCCCCCCCCCTCTCTCTCTGCACACATTTTCATTTTCCTGTACAGCTTCTCTCTCACCGAGAAATTTCGTTAGTCACCGAGAATTCGTTCGACGATCTGCGTTTTGATTATGGATTCGAGTGTTTTCGTTGAGCTATCCGCTTCCGATCTTCGATTCCGAGATGTGGTTTAAGACTCATCCTTTCTTCGGTCATGGGTGAATTGTCTGGAAATCGAAAGATCCATCGAGGTATGTAGTAGATTTGTTGTTAATAGATTTATATCTTGTTCTTCATCCCCTTTTTGCACGTAATTAAGTATTTTCCTCCATTTCTTGAAGGCTCTTGATGTTTGTTCTGAACCATTAGTGCTCGGGCTTTGTACGTCTGGTTCGATGCGAAACCTTGCTGTCTTTCTGAAATTCTTGAGTTTTGTATTTCGTATGTATTGTAATTCTTGGGTTCAGATCTATTAATTTTTCAACTTTGTGTTCATTTTCAGATCTAAAACGCTTGGTTAGATCGGTGCAATCAATTCAGATCTCGTGATTCTTTATGGATTCAGATCGGATTTTGATATGAAGCTGTGAAGGATTGCTAAAGTGTTTCTTTATGCTTTTTTTGATGGGCTTTCTTTTGTCATCTTCTTGGTATAATAAAGAAGACAGTTTGTGTGTGTGTGTTTTCGGTGTATACCAGAGGGGTATAGCCTAGGCTAACAAAAAAAAATGTGAGATGTGGAATGTTCTACTGGTTGTCAATCGACCTTTGCCATGTCAGGTGCGCTTGCTTGGCAGGTCAAAAAAACCCTAATAAAAAGTTTGTTTTTTGTGTTTGAGGGGGAGATGGTACGGGGTTTTGCCCGGCTCTCCCCTTATTGTGTGTTGCGTCTTTTTTTTTCCCTTGATTTTGTGCTCCCCAATTCTCTCTCCAATCCAATCAGTTGTTCATCGTGTCTTTATTTGTCTCTCGAATGGATGATTTTACATCGATTCGAACAAATAGGGACATCAACACGCCAACTGTTTGTATTCATCAGGCAAGCAAACGCAAGGATGGGATTAGCACAAGAGGTACAAACAAACAATTTCCTTTAATTTATTTTGGCAATAATTATTGCATTTTGAGCATTTTAATTAGGGGAAATTATGCATTGGGTGTCGCTAGTGTGAGAGGTTTTGGAAAGTTTATAGTAGTTTCCTTATGAATCCGTCGTAGTTTCAGTAAATTATTACAGATTTATGGAAAGTTTACATTTTTAATTATTAATATTTATTAAGTTTAGATTTTGAAACCACCCCTGAAATGAAATTTCCCTTTTAATTAATTAAGCTTATTGCATAAAATCAGCACTAAATTCGAGCATGTCTGAATCTACCATCTCATTAGCCTCATTTCAAAAGCAGCACTCAATATGGCTCGCAAGGCTAATCTTTATTCTCAAAATTTAATTACTAAGTAAATTTCTGGTTACCAAATTCTTGCTGGTTTACATTTTTCAATTATAAAATCCAAGTAACATCTAACATACGCCCAAAAATTTAACGTACGCCCAAAACTGTTGATTAGTTGAAAAGAAAATTTTATAGTACACCATATGCCAAAATATGATTTTATGGTCTTTTGATTACTTCCTTTGTCATGACTGGTGTTTATGACCTGTTGTGATTAGGAAAATGATATAGTGCCATTTTGGGAACTTGCCAAAAACGTGGCGTTTTTGGCTTGTGAAGGAAAATGCAATGCTGCCGAAAACGCCGGAACATGCATTTGGGAAGTGAAAAAAAAGCTGTCGGGCAAAATTACCTAAATACCGTCTATGTTAATAAATTACCTAAAATTTCAAAATTTGGTAAGGGTATATTGGTCATTTTATTTTGATTTGATGCCATAAATAAATATTAAATTAAAAAGTAAAAAAGTTAGGTTTTTATTAACTTCTCAAATCACTAATAAAAAAGTCAAAAAACTTTGTAAAAAGTCAAAAGCTAGTTTTTTACCAATTTTCCAAAACAATCCATAGAAGCCAATTTTATGAAGTGATTTTTTTAATGTGGAAGAGATGATTGTAGATGATTAGACACTACTATCGTGATTATTATTTTGTTGGTTATGACCTATAATGATCATTATTTTGGTTATAATTTTCGGGTAATTGAAAATGACTGGATATATTTTTATGTGGTGTTTGGTTGTTCTGTTTGGTTTAGATTTCGAACATAGTTGAGGGTGATATTTAGATGCATTTTTCAAATTATAATTATAATTATTACTTTTCAAAATTCTAAGCACACAATTTAATTTTTTTTTTCAAAATTCAAAAACAATTTAATTTTTATTGTAAATACTTTCTATTTTTTTATTTCAAATATTTTATTTTATTTTATTTTGTAGGAATATTTTTAATATTTTAATTTTTATAAAAAATATTTTTATATTTTAATTGTTCGGAATATTTTTAATATTTTAGTGTTCTAAATATTTTAGATATAAAATAATTGATATGGAGGTTAATTGAAAAAAAAAATTATTTAAAAAAGTTACTTAAAAGCAATTAAAAAAAATTACTTAAAAAGTAATTAATTGAAAAAAAAATTATTTTTTTATTTGAGTATTTTAAAAATAGTTTGGTTATGATTGTTAATTAAAAATGAGGATAGAGTTATAAATTGTGTGTCTGATTATTAATTTTAGGTTGAATTAGGTTTTGAATACTATTTCGAATTCATTGCAAAACAAATTTTTTTATTTTACAGATGACGTTAAACTTTTAAAATTCAATTTAACATACAACTTAAAATTTAATTCAATACTCTATTCAAAAATTATAATCAAGTAAATTTTTTACATTTAAATCATAATTTTACAACTTAAGCTTAAAATCCAATTTATACTTTTAAATTATATTTATAAAACTCTATCAAAAGCAATTTAATTTTTTGAAGATTTAGTTCTGATATTTATGGTAATTAATATGAAAATGTACATATGGTAAGGCTCTGTATTCTAGAATGTCCCCATTGTAAGTACATTAATATTGTAGATGGTTCAAATGTCAAAGATTGTTGGTTCGGTTATTGGGATTCTGTGCATAATGTAATTTCAGAGTGGTTCAGTTGTACTATGATGTGTGTGGGCTGGTTTATGTTTCTGTTTTTGGTTAGGGTTTGGGTTGGAATGTGTAGTGGTTTGGAGGTTGGTCCCTTATGGGTAATTGTAATTTAGTCAAAATGTCAATTGTAAACCAGTATTAAGCTCCAGGGTTGGTGGTGGCTGCATGTTGTGACTTTAAATAGCAGATGTGGGTTCATGGATTTTGTTTCAGTGTTGCAGCAGAGTAAAGATTCTTTGATTCCTGTGTGCGGTGGCTGGAGAGGATGAATTTTAGCGGCTTGATCATTTGAAGGAATAAATTCAGGCATTGCAATAAAGAATGTTTTTTTGTCATGTTGGTGCAGAGGAGACCGTACCTTCTTTTGTGGTGAACTCAATTTTTTGTGCTATTTCTTTAATGCTGCATAGTTTTTCTAGCTAATGTGACAGATTTTGGATTGCAGTGGTTGTGACTTTGGGGTTGCGCATGTCTAATTCAAGTCTTGATTCTTCATGTGTAGATTTTGTGGTGTTAACTTCATTATTTTTTTGGCAGATGTTGGAGTCCGTTTTACTAGTATTTCTTGAGGGTATGTGTGAACTCTCTTCTCGAAAATTGTCGCATTGATTGTAGAGAATAGATTGTTTGTAGTTTCCTTTATACGCTAAACTAGCTGGACAGTTATTATCTAATATTGCAAATTGCAATTTTTGCTATAATAATTTTTATTTTTTATTTTTTATTTTACCCTAGGGTGCGGCCACAAATGCATTGTAGGAAGTGTGCAGTTCAGCATTGTGTATCTGCTTGTGTTTGCCATTTGTTGTATTTACTTCATATGTTGTGCTGATCCCCAGGAGGCTTGAGTTGGAAGTGTAATTGGGTCGTCTCACGTGTGAGATAGATTTCTAGAGTTTGCTTCTGACACACCATGTTTGCTGAAGTGTCGCAATGCCACAATAAGGTATTTCTTTACTCAATAACATAATTTTACAATTCAAACTTAAAATCCAATTTATACTTTTAAATTATATTTATAAACTCTATCAAAAGCAATTTATTTTTTTGAAGATTTAGTTCTGATATTTATGGTAATTAATATGAAAATGTACATGTGGTAAGGCTCTGTATTCTAGAATGTCCCCATTGCAAGTACATTAATATTGTAGATGGTTCAAATGTCAAAGATTGTTGGTTCGGTTATTGGGATTCTGTGCATAATGTAATTTCAGAGTGGTTCAGTTGTACTGTGATGTGTGTGGGCTGGTTTATGTTTCTGTTTTTGGTTAGGGTTTGGGTTGGAATGTGTAGTGGTTTGGAGGTTGGTCCCTTCTGGGTAATTGTAATTTAGTCAAAATGTCAATTGTAAACCAGTATAAAGCTCAAGGGTTGGTGGTGGCTGCATGTTGTGACTTTAAATAGCAGATGTGGGTTCATGGATTTTGTTTCAGTGTTGCAGCAGAGTAAAGATTCTTGATTCCTGTGTGTGGCGGCTGGAGAGGATGAATTTTAGCGGCTTGATCATTTGAAGGAATAAATTCAGGCATTGCAATAAAGAATTTTTTTTTGTCATGTTGGTGCAGAGGAGACCGTACCTTCTTTTGTGGTGAACTCAATTTTTTGTGCTATTTCTTTAATGCTGCATAGTTTTTCTAGCTAATGTGACAGATTTTGGATTGCAGTGGTTGTGACTTTGGGGTTGCGCATGTCTAATTCAAGTCTTGATTCTTCATGTGTAGATTTTGTGGTGTTAACTTCATTATTTTTTTGGCAGATGTTGGAGTCCGTTTTACTAGTATTTCTTGAGGGTATGTGTGAACTCTCTTCTCGAAAATTGTCGCATTGATGGTAGAGAATAGATTGTTTGTAGTTTCCTTTATACGCTAAACTAGCTGGACAGTTATTATCTAATATTGCAAATTGCAATTTTTGCTATAATAATTTTTATTTTTTATTTTTTATTTTACCCTAGGGTGCGGCCACAAATGCATTGTAGGAAGTGTGCAGTTCAGCATTGTGTATCTGCTTGTGTTTGCCATTTGTTGTATTTACTTCATATGTTGTGCTGATCCCCAGGAGGCTTGAGTTGGAAGTGTAATTGGGTCGTCTCACGTGTGAGATAGATTTCTAGAGTTTGCTTCTGCACGCCATGTTTGCTAAAGTGTTGCAATACCACAGAAAGGTATTTCTTTATTCAATAAGAATTAGGAATCTGTCTCGTATTTGTAACTTGTTTTGGAAAAAAATTTGCGTAGGTATTTGTGAAGAGAAAAAGGGGTAGGTAAAGGTGATAGTAAAAAATTTTAGGTTCTACTTAATTGGTTTTCTTTTTTTCTTTGGTAACTTCTGGTAGAATTTTTTAAATATTATGGGAGATTAAAGTTGTATTTTGAATTTGTGAGTTTTGAAATTATGATTTGAGTTGGAAAAAATTTGTTTGGTTATGATTTTTGAAAAGATCTTTGAGTTGAGTTTTGAAGGGAGTTTTGACTTTTTAAAATTAGAGAAGTTATTTGATTCAAAAATTTATAATTCATAACAGAACATATAATTTAAAATTCTATTCAGAACTCGTATAAAAATTTGAAAAATATTTTTTATTTACAATATAAAAATAGCAGGTGTCAAAAAATAAAAATCAAATATTGTTTTGGTCAGTCGGCCGGACGTCTGGTAAGATGACCGGGTTAATTAAATTTTTTTTGGAAAGGAATTTTTAAAAATGAGTGGAATTATAATTTAAAAATTCAAAACAAGCACAACACATGAAAGTGGATGGAAATGTGTTTGGCAAACATAATAATGTGTTTGGCCAACACATCCAGACAATTTTTATTTCTACGAATTTTTCAACAAATAATAGATCTAAACAAACTTAAATGCTGTCTAAGAGTATTTTCAATTATGCATCAAAATTTTTACCAAATTTGAGTAAAAGCATTTTTTGACATCACCTGCTCCAACGGAGAGTTTTGGCTCTTCATAAAATCACTTGATGATCGGGCAAATGACCCTTAGGGGTTGTTTGGGATGGTCTAAATAAGTGCACTTTTTGTCTTTTTATGAAAAGATGTGCAGAAAAGTAGAGAGGTGATGTGATGGAAAAAAGATAAAAAGATAAAAAGATGGATTATATTGGAGTTGTCAAACTTGGCATTAAGTGAAATTTTTACAAAATTTTGTTTTGAGGTGGTCGTAGTGGACATTTGGCGGTGAAAATATAACGACAATGAACAGTGATTTGATGGAAGGCATAAAGCGTATTTAATTTGGTGAAACATTTTTGATTTTTTCAGTTTAATATCTGTTTTATGAAATCATTGGAGTAGAAAAAATGATTACTTTTTACCAAATTTAAATTTGATCTGGATTTTTGTACATACTTGAAGATGGCTTTATGTATCATTTTTTTGGTGTGAGAATTGCTCACTTTTTAGTAATTTATTTATTAAATCATGAGAACATTATCATTTTATTTAGTTTTGCAACTGGTTGTTGAAGCTGTTGTGGTTACTGCAGCAATTTTATTGTTTTAGCCTTTTTTAATTAAATTTAAATTTTCTTGTTTGATTGTAGAAAGGTGGAAAATGTGGAGTGCTTGTCAATGTCTTGGTTGAACTGTGATGTACACTATATATTAAACAAAATGGGATTTTTAACCTCAAATCTTGTGGGAGTTCCAATCTCTCAATCTAAATTTTTTGATTTTTTGATTTAAAAAAAAAATTATAGCATTTATTAACTTCTCTCAACTTTCAAGTTTTACCCTTATAATAACACTTTAATGCATTAAGAACAAGTACAAAATTTTTTTTTTGAAATCCAACACATATGAATTTTTTGAAAAGTCCTATATGATTATTATTCCTCATAATAACACTTTAATTTAACACTTTAATTTATTAAGAATAAGCATAAAAAAAAATTATTAAAAAATTCAATAAATATGATTATTATCAAAATATTAAATTTTAATATAATATAATAAAAAAAAGAAGACATTTAATTCTTTGAAAAGTTCAACACATATGATTTGATTATTATCAAAATATTAAATTTTAATATAATATAAAAAAGAAAAAAAGAAGACATTTAAAAAAAAATAAATAAATATTTAAATATCACAATTCATATATATAAATAATTATAAATATATTAAGGAAAAGGGGGTTTCTAAACCCCAAGTCTTGTAGGAGTTCTAATCTCTCAATTTTAGTTTTCTAAATTTTTGATTTTAAAAAAAAGATCTCAGCATTTATTAATTTGGTTAAAATCTCTTAAACATTTATTTAAATTTTTTCAATCCATATGCTTGCATTTATTGATTTGATCAAAATTTCTGATTAGCATTAAAAATTTCCTCATACAAATAATTATAGATATAGCCCATGCATAGTTACTGCAGTAGCTTTTTTAATTTCTCCTGTACACTATGGTTAGTGATAAGATTGTTAAATTATTTTTATAAAAAATTTTAAAAAACATAATTTATATATTAAAAAAAAATTAAAATAAATATAAATATCTATAATTATCCCGTGCTATATATATATATATATATATGCCAAAGGTTAGTTTGAAGATTAAGATACCTGGTAAATTGTTAAAGAAGCCAATTATTTTGTTCTGGATTTTGTTACCACTGTGGGATTCCCGCAAAACTTTCCTCACTTCCCGCAAAATCTTTTTTCGACTATAATAATTTTAGATGTCATAGAAAAGTGTTTTATATTTTTTTGCTTTTTCTTTTATAATTAATATTTAGTATTTTACAAATAGGTGGGTAGGTCTGGATTTGTTTAGTTTTTAAAACATCAGTACAAGGCCACCCCTAACGTAATATTTGTGCAGCTACACCCGCGTGCATTAAAATGGAGATTTTTTTTAGTTTTTTTTATTTTTTTCTTTCCTTTTTGTAATGGAGTGTTCACTGAAATATTTAATTTACCCTTAAATTTATAGTAGTGCTAGTTGAAAATGTCTATTATTTTGATTAACTTTTTAGTACTTTTAGAACAGTAAATTTGTGTTGGGGTTCTGAAATTTATTCACTTTGCATGTTCATGGTTTTCTAAAAATACTTTTTAGAAAATTTATTTTCTTATTTTTTGTTTTTTTTTTTTTTTTTGAATAAAGCTTAAGACCCCCAGTGGGGGTGCTGGGGGTCTGTTTTCATTGGTCAAAAACTGTTTTTTTTATTTTTTTTTTCCATTGGCATCCCCCCACGTGGAGGTGGGGGTGCTTCCGTACTGGGTTCCGAATCACGGCTCTTTTTTTATATTGAATTTTTTAATATTTTAAGTAATTTTTTTTTTAATTTTTAGATACATAACATAAAAAACATAAAAAGTATAACTTTTGTGAATTTTTTTTTAAAAATTCATTAAATACTAAAAATATATAAACATACAAGAATGCAGTGTATATATATATATATATTATGTATTTATTAATTTTTTAAAATATTTTTTCACTAATTTTTTATTTTGTAGATATATCTAAAATAAGGTGTCTAAAAAATTTTTTAAAAAAATTGTTAAAATTTTAAAAATATTCCCTAAAACTAAAAAAATATGAAAAATAAAAAGTTCAGACAGTGTTTGGTTAGCTTCTCCAAATATGTTTTTATCCCTAGTTTTGAGTGTTTCGTTTGTTTAGAATTTTTAAAAATTAATTTTGCATATTTTTGGTGGTTCTTTTGAAAATTCTTTTGAAGGCGGGAAAATTTTGACTAATTGATCGTTCTTCCATACGTATGGCCAGATTGGCTAGTTGACTGAGAAAGTGTTATTTATTTATTTATTTATTTTTACAAAGAAAGCATATGTTATTTTTTATATTTTAAATAAAAAGACGAATTTGGAATTTTTAAAAAATTTTGTGAGTTTTGAATAGAATCTTGAGTAGTGTGTTTGGTTATGAGTTGTAAGTTTTTGTATCAAATATTGTATGTTACATTAAAAATTTCAAAATCAATTCAAAATTCTTTTGTAATTCTTTTTAAAATTTATAACTAAACAAATTTTTCATACTCAAATCATAATTTTAAAATTTAAACTCAAAATATAATTTTATTTTCAAATTATAATTTCAAAACTCTTCCAAACACCACTTCAATTTTTAAAAAAATCCAAAAAATTCAAATAATACAGATGACTTTTTTCCGAAAGAAAAGAAACGGGAAAATGAGTTACTATTATTGCTTTTAAAACGATTCTAGCAACTGTGTCCAGTGACACTGGTGAAATGATTCTCTCTTTAGTGATATTTTTTCATATTTTGTTGTCTAAATTATAATTACAACCATGAGCTTGATTTGGTTTTCTATTTCTGATTTCAAGACTGGTTTCAAATCATGTAAATACCTTAAGGGTATATCACTATCTCTATGTATGTATATTATTCACTTCAAAACTTGTTTGAAATCTGTGAGATAGGTATGTATATTCACCCATCTCTTTAATTCTTTGTTAATATCTTGAATATTTGATTGAATATTCTCTTACCTGGATTTGATTTGGTTATGGTATAGTATATACCTGATGAGATAGCAAATACTTCTTTAGAAAATTTAGACATAGAAAACTATGAATTTGAAGATTTAGACGAACTTGATTTTGAAGATAAGGGAGACTATTGGAACCTAGAAGATGTTCAACAAACAGTTAACCTAAAATTAATTTTTGCAAAAATAGGAAAATTAAGAAAAAAATCAGTATACAGAAGAACAGAAAATGATTTATATGAGATAATAAGATTAGCCAAAATAACAGAGATTTTAGGAGAACAACCCATAAAATACCAAAGCAATCCAATTTAGAAGATACTTTTTACATGAACACATAAAGCACTAGCAACCCACAACCAATTGTAGAAGATCCCATAGAATCAATGCATTATGCAGTAGGAGGAAGAAGACCATTAGCCAGTTCAAGACGTAGTCACGCAGATCCAAATAAAAGCTATCGACTGCCCCCCCTTCCTGACCAAGAAATCAGACAACTCACCAGTGAGGAATTTGACTAATTGAGTGTTTTGGGGGATGAGTTAGTGGTCTACCACTATTGTGAAATTGGGCTGAGAATTATCCAACTAATTCTTCAGTTATGCTAAGAAGTCTCCAAGCTGTTGTATGGCTAGTTTTAAGGCTTCTTGTCTTACAGTTATTTGCCTATTTATTTGAGAAATTGTTAAACTGTAATTTTCTAAGAATCTACCAGATGCTAATGATAAAAGAAATTAATATCTAAACTTTTGATCTTCTAATTCTTGTATAAGCTCAGTACTGGTTCTGATTTTAATCCTAAATTTTTCATCTAAAGGCATACAATTTTGATTTTTTAAATTTTTATGAACAATATTTCCTTAATATTTCTACTCAGGTTGCTCTCCTT